GGAACTAATGGCTCCGGTTCTCCGTGATGTGCAATTCAGTACGTTAATACACTTTCTTAGCTGTCTTTGTGTTACATTAAATTTAAACATTGGGATAACTGAATTTGTTTTCGTACCTAACTGAAATTTTGTTAGTAACAGAGATGATCTTAATTTTGCTCTCTTTTTTCAAATTTAATTACTTCATCTCTTAGAATTTAATGTTTAAGGGTCTGATATCACTACATTTTCGTTCTAAAGAAGATTTGTTTTTGTAATGCAGCCTTGCATTTATGATAGTGAGGATTCATACAGCCGACCCAACTAGCTTGGGATTGAAGCATAGTTATTGTTGTTGTAGTGCAGCCTTGTTTAAGAAGTAAAAGAAAGCAATCATGATTATCTGTCTTATTACCTAGTTTCAAGGTCTTAGACTATGGATATATTCTGTATGATTAATTAATTTAGAATAAAGGCAGAATATCCTGGATTTTGCTTACATGGTCATCACATAAATTTTGCTTGTATGCAATTCTATCCTAGATGGTAGTTTTACCTCTGCTGTAGACATGGAACCTTACTTTTGAGATTCATTACTTTTTTATTTTTTTTTGAGGGGTAGAGAGGGGGAATGATTATGCATGTAGATTAAGCAAGGGAAGGGGAGTATGAACTTGGAAACCTGGTGAAGCTTGCCAAACTGAGAGGCACCCTACAGTTTCTTTTCGTTACTTAGGTTAGACTTTACTTAATCGAGAAGATACTACAAGATAATGTTGAGAAATCCACTAACTTTGGAGCTATTCTTATATCACTTTCTTATCTTATCTTCTTTGTCTTTTTTTTTTTGAAATGGAGGTGTACGGGCTAGCTTGAGCGCACTTTGACTATTCCATAAGGTACCTGCTACTTTAAAGTAGTATAATTATTGGGTAATTCTACTCACCAAGGCTTAGGCATATGAGAAGAAATTACCTAGTGTTTTTCGTCTATGCTAGGATTTGAACCCTAGTTGCCAAAGTTTGCACCCAATTTCATGTGTCTGAAATGGTCTAATCGGTTTTAGTAATTTTGTTTCATTTCCCTCTTGAGATTTNGTTTAACCTCTTCAATTTCCCTCTGTTCTCTAGTGTAGATAAACAATCTCTTATGATGTATTTTTATATATTATGACGATGGATAAATAGATTTGTCAAGCCGTTTGGCATTAAATCCAGCATAACAAGGATTAAGTGCATGATAGATCAAATTAGAATTAGAGTTTTTTATCCTTTCTTTAGCCGAGGGTCTATCGGAAACAACCTCTTTGCCCTTTCCAGGGTAGGAATAAGGCCGTGTACATCCCCAGACCCCACTTTGTGGGAATTCGCTGGGTTTGTTGTTGTTGTATCAAGATCAATGAATAGTTCCAACCAGAACTTAGACAGATAACATTTAATTGAACATGTATGCAATACAAGGAGTAGTAGTAGATATTTAGAGTTATACTTTCTAAGTCTGGATTATGCAAGATAAGACTTACATCAACGTTCCCAAGTAGAGTGTGAAGCACTTTTTTGGGGGGGATGAACAATGTGAATCCTTTACTTGATTAAAAAAAGAGTTTAAACACTTCATTGATGTAGTTATGTTATCATGTTCATGCTTTAGCCTTGCGTCTGACAGTGGTGAGCTCTATCTCGTTGCAATTGTTTGCCTTATGGTTTTGCTGCTTCAATACATGCCAAATAGTTCCAGCCATCCAAGTATTAAGTGCAAAATTGGTCAAACTAGAAATAGATTTTTCCAACTTAGATAAAACAACCAATATCGGGCTTATCATTGAGCAGACCTGGCCAGTACCTAAAGAGTGAACACTTTATTGAACATAGTTGAATAACGAGGAGTAACGGCAAATTGCTAGAGTTACACTTTTGCAATCTAGATCGTGAAAGTTCAAGACTCAACCTGTCAATGTTCCTGACACTTTGCTAGTGTAATTATGTTATACATGTTCTTGCTTTAGTTTTGCTTCAGTTTGAGGAGAACACTATCACGTTTCAATGGTTAACTCATGGTTTTGCTGCTTGAATACATGCAAATCTTTCCAGCAATATTCTCTTCCTTAAATGATCCAGTGAACTCGTTTATATCCTCATTTCAATCTTAGCTCAGCCTTTTATCATTAATGAACCTATGGTTCAGTATTATTAAGGTTAAGAATTTTGCAAGCTACTGTTTCAAATAAATGTGGTTATCCATGTGATCGGGTTTTGCCTTTCTGTTACAATTCTGCTGCGTTTGTACGCATCCATTCTCTTGTGGTGTTTTTTCTTGATGATCATTGGTCCTTTTCAATGACCGAATTGCAGGTATGCTCAGTTTAAAAGATCTTGGGGATGCTATTGCTCAAAAGCTGCAGGGCTGTCTTTCAGAAGATAGTGAATTATATGGGAGGAAAAACAATCATGTATATTCCTGCAAAATTGAGAAAGTTGTGAAGGATGGTGAGGAAACCCGTTATGAGGTTGCTTGGCTAGACAAATATGAAAGACTGCCTGAGAATACAGTCATCAATGAAGAAGATCTGATTAGGTGCAAATTGCGATTTAGTAGAGCTTTTCTAAGGTCCTTTATCAGAGAGTCTACATATCGAAGCATTCCTTGGGTCTTACATGAAAAATTGGCAAAGAAGCATGGAGTACCAACTGGTCCTCCGGATGAGCTTAAGGATCAAATATGTATGCAGGATGGTGTTATTGTTATTAATAGGAAGAAAAAGAAAAGTGAAGATAGAGTAAGTGCTTTGCTAACTGTGGGCATATTGTCCTGTTAATTTTGTCACTTTGTAAACTGTTATTCATGTACTAACAGTCTTGTTTATTCAGGAGGCAAAAGAGAATGGCTTCCAAGATTCAAATGAGATAGGAAAAGGTAATGCTGTTGAATGTTGGCTTGTTGCTATTTACTTTCTATTCCATAGAGTTATTTCTTCTACTTATTGGTACTTACACNCCAAGATTCAAATGAGATAGGAAAAGGTAATGCTGTTGAATGTTGTCTTGTTATTTACTTTCTATTCCATAGAGTTATTTCTTCTACTTATTGGTACACACAGTGAAAAAGCTACTATTTTGTATATAGACCTAAAGCTCTTCGTCTCAATTAAGTTTTAATAGTAGCATAAGATGATTGCATATTAACTTAACTAAGTTGCATCAAATCTTAAATGGTTACATATCTTGTAAATGTTACATGCTTACTTAAAGTGTAACATCTTAGGTAGATTAGATCCTGTGACAAATTATTCAGCAACACATTGAGCAGTTTTAACAAAATAAGAAATTTAAGTAATTGTGTGTCTGGAAAAACATGAAAAGAAAAAATCAAACATTGGACATCACTTACTTAAACTTTTCCCAGACACAAATTGTTAAGCAACATCTTGAATATGTTCCATGTTTACGTGGAAAGTGTTAATTAACTAAGAAATGTTATATGTTTACTTGAAAGTGTTACATAATTGGGATTTTATTATTTAATGGAATCTTTTATCTAAAGAAACATACCTCCTCATTCCACCTTTATGTTGTATATTTTGGAACTGGTGGTAGTATGATATGAAGCTGTATTTTTGCTGTCTATTTTCTCTTGCTCCGTATTAATGCTTCCTCTTCACTGCATTGGCATATACAGAAGACAACCTGAACGCAGAGTCCATTAGATATCCAATCGATGATCTTTTGGTGCAGTGTGCAGAGTCCGATAAACACTTGGTTGAACGCCCTTCTCAGTGTAGGGAATTTAACGTCTCAATGGAATGCATAGGGGATCTTTTGATGGTATGGGACTTTTGTACTTCGTTTGGCAGGTTGTTCCACCTGTCGCCATTCTCCCTTGAAGATTTTGAAAGTGCTGTCTGTCACAAAGGCAGCAACATTGTTCTCATATCTGAATGTCATTCAGCCCTTCTTCGCTTTCTTTTGAAAGATAACGGCGAGTATTTCATGGCTGTACAGAAGAAAAGACAGAAGCTGAAGGTAATATTTGAATCATGTAATATTTTCTTTTGAAGGTCATGCCTTCTTTAACTCTTCAAGGGTTTGTGTTTATTTTGGACATATGATTCGTTAACCTTCTTGTGTAGCAACACAATCTGATCAAGTACCATAGTTTGTAAACTCTGATGATAATGATGAGTATCTTTGAAAGGCGAAGTTGGAACTTGTCCTGATGTGACGCAAGCTCCAAAAATCCCGAGGGGATTATTGGAGGGAAAAAGTCTCAAGGGCTAATGCCCCGATATTCTTGGGACTTCCGTCTCTTGCGTGCTTTGTGGCTTTAATATGTTTATGCGCCATTTCGTAGAATTTGGTGATTTGTATAATGTAATGTATGTATGCTGTTATGCTAGGCATTTATAATGATTGAATTTTATATAGATGAATGTATTTTCCACTTCTAGATATATTTTTTGCTACTTCTGATGTAAGTAATTATATGAAAATGCTCCTCGTGGATAACCTCTTTCCCATGATAGGCAAAATGCCCATGACCTGAAATCAATAAATTAAAGCTGATGGTTCAAATTTATATTTGTAAGTTCACTTTTGAAATAAAATATTTGTTGTAAATATATGCAAACTGACTCATAAATCAGAATGTGTTTGACATGTTTCACTGATGGGATATTTTCTCTCTTGTGAGGCAAGTAACTATTAACTGTGCATTCTTGTTTACAGCCTGATGATATTAGCTATACTTTCTTTGTTGAACACTAATCATAGTTTTAAACCTTTTTTTTTTCTTCCAGATTACTTTAATCAATTGGATGGAGTATTTGTCTGATTTCTTGGAATTGATTGGTATTATAGAATTGTCTAATCATGTTGCAACGATTAAGAGGGGTCACTATGGCCTTGTAGACATTCAGGCCAAATTGGCAATCTTGCGTGAACTGGTCTGTCGAGTCATTGAGACAGAGTATTTTAAGGAGAAATTGGATGAGGATATTGAAAAGAAGCAGGCACTTGCAGCAACAAGGAGAGATGAAATTTTGGAAGAATCTAGGAAGAAGAGAGAAGAAGACCATTTGAAAATACAGTCTAATGGGAAGGAAGCAACAAAAGGGTGTGGCAACTCCTCAGATACTGGGAGCGATAACCACCTCAGAGAGAATGGAGATGTGTCAAGTAGGAACGGCAAACGAACATCATCTCAATCAAAACATTCATTAGAAGACAGGTTTGTTTTTTACGTACTTGAAATCTTTCTGGAATTTAACTTAATGATGTCGGTTCTTATTTTTCTTTTTTCTGTCTCCTGTTGCTTCCTCTCTGACGTCTGCTAGTGAGAGTGAGCTACTAGCAGATTCATTTAAAAAAGCTAAGATGAGAAAGGTTGAAGTCAAAAATGCTACAGAAAAGATGAATGGTTCCTCGAAGATTGCTTCTGACAAATTGATAAAGGATGAAGGGAAGGAAACATTAGACAACAGGAGTAAGGATCAAAGAGCTCTTCACAAAATGCGGAAGAATGAGATAAAGGAGCATCTTGAAAACAGGAGTAAAGAGCAAAGGGTGAGCCCGCGCTTCTCTCGATCTAGTTCTCTGGTTTTCTTTCTTTGACACACGAGCATGTAGTCTTGTGTTTAAACAGAATTTTTGTTACCTAGATATCTGTTGAAATAGCTTCATGGTCTCACTTGACATAAATGTCTTATACCTATTTATTTGTTAAGCAAGTTCCTTGTGTATCTTCAAATTGCAGAAAGAATATCTTGAACGGGAAATAGAGAAGAGAGTAATACGCACCAATCCATTGGGTAAGGACAGAGATTATAATAGGTATTGGTTTTTCCGCCGGGATGGAAGAATATTCGTTGAGAGTTCAGATTCTGTCCAGTGGGGTTATTACTCTTCCAAGGAAGAGGTATTGATGCTACACCACACTTTCTCTTATGGTTTTTCTCTTATATCGTGATAATCTTCAGCTTTTCCTGGTAACAGCTTGATGCTCTGATTGGATCACTGAATGTGAAGGGTGTAAGAGAGAGGGCTCTTAAAATGCAACTGGAAAAACTCTATGACAAAATAAGGTGAGTTAAACTTCAGATGAAACATTTTGATTTTCTTATATTCTTTAATTGGAATCCTTAACGTGACTTAGAAGGAGACCACAGTTCCCAAAAAAAAATCCTGTACTTGTATTAGTTTTAAGGAAAACACAACAAGGTGACCTGAACTTATCAAAATAAAAATAAGATTAGTTGAACATCCATGAAATATTTTGATTTGTTCATATCATTTTATTTGAATTTTTGGGATTATATTGGGTTTGTTGTTGTTTGTTGTATTTGATTTGAATTTTGGAGACATCTATGTTACCATTTTCAAAAAATAAAAATAAAAAAATTTGGAGACAACTTAGAAAAGAGGCCATGGTACTAAACTCATGTGAGAACTTGGTTGGGTGGTCTATATTTGGTCCTAGTTTTAAGCTAAGCAATTTTTATATCATCTGGGAAACTGTAAATAGTCTTTTGTGATGTGTGCTTTCTGCTGGCATGTTTGACATTTGCTGCTTAATTAATTAAGCTGTAGTAATGTGAAGTCGGCCTGATTATCACGCACAAGTTCCATTTGACTAAGCTCTCCAAATTTCGATACTTCTAGCAGTGCTTGATCCATATTAGTTCAGGTTTAGACACTGCCGTTACCCAATACTTTGCTTCTGCACTTGATCTCGCAATTAATTTTGTTTCTTACTTTTCGGAGACCTCAAAATTTCCCCAACTAGAATGCTGTATCCAGAATCGTCTGCTGGAGGGTGACCTTGCCCAAGCTGTATCTGTATATCCAACAATCTGCTTATGTCCTCCGGTTTTCATAAAGTAGTCCTTTCCTTGGAGCAGAGTTTCTGTACTAAATTCTGGACAGGCATTTGGATTGGGAGTACTAGTTTGAAGAGATCCTGATCTATTTAACAACACTATAGCAAAGGATGGCAAAGTCTGAGATTTTTATTCAGATACAGGCTGGCAAGTAGAATTCAGAAGGAATCTAAAGGACTGGGAGGTGTAGGGTTTCTGCAACTGCTACAACAGTTGGATTCAGTTTTAATTGATCAAAACAAGGAGGACTGCTTGATTTGGGTGAACAGCAAGGACAAAATGTTTTCTGTAAATAGCTGTTATGGTCTGTTACTAAAGTTATCTGGTCAGGGTGTTTTCTAATTGCCCTGGAAGATGATATGAAGCAGTGTTTTAAAAGGCGTTTTCAGGGCAGGGCGAGCCGTACCAATAACGCACTGAGGCATACTTTGGTTGTGGTGGGGGGGGGG